CTGACAAGCACCTGGCCAAAAACTCCAGTCTCCTTGGATGCCTTACTGGGAGCCATGAGCCCAGTACTGCTTAGCTAAAACTGTAATTTTGTTCATGTTAGACCAGAAATAATGCCTTTTACCTTCCCAGCTTTATATAATGGGCTTGCAGAGTCTCTTTGTGYACAGCTCCAGGTACTGAAAGTGCCCCAGAAAAGGGATGGCAACAGGGTTGTTTAGGGACCTGATGCTGAGACTGCTCCGTGCCAAGAGCACTCTGTTCCGAGCACGATGCCCCAGCAGTGCCAGGACTGGAGGAGCAGCAGATGATGCCCCGGCCCGGGCTGCCAACACCATGTCAGGGGGCAGCTCCGTGCCAGCAGAACCTCAGGAAGATGCTAATAACGCAGCTAGAGATGCCATAACACAAGCAGACGAGGTAGAAAGGGAGCCTAGCGTTTTGCCTTGGTCTTAGCCAAACAGGGAAGTCAAGACACCATTCCTGAGCTCCAAAAGGCTCATTTGAACAGCAAGGCAAGATTTTCCACAGTTGCTGTGAGGGCCTGAGAAATGTCAGCTCTGCTGCCATGCTCCACAAKAGACAAAGGGGACAGGGGATATCTCACCAGGAACATCTTTCTCAGGGTAGGTCAGCATTGCTGGGAGGGAGTCAGTTTGGGCAAGGCAGCTCCAGGGCAGCTCCTGGCTCCAGGTGAAGCCTGCGCTGCTCCCACTGCAACAAAATCTAACAGGGAGGTTCCTCATTCCTGCCTAGATGCAAGCTGTGAGTAGAACAGGGTATAATCCTTATGGGTGACAGCAAAACTAACAGAAACATTTTACAAAGGTGTTAAAACTTCARACTGGCGAGAAAAATCACGAATAAAAAGGAAACAAGTATAAAATTCTAACAGAATGATTAAAAGCAAATGAAATGACAGCTGATGGGATGCACCGAGTGGAAGGGGAGGGTCTCAAAAGCAACTCTACTGTCAGTGCAAAGAAGAACTCAGCCTCTCACTGTAAATTATATACTGCTTAAATGTATTTATGGACTCAACTTTCCCCTTCCTCTCCCCATTCCACCCCCAGAAGAAACCTTTGAAAGCTTAAAAAAAAAAAAAAGAGAGAAAAAACATTCACAGAAACCTGTGGAACTTCTGTACGTCCCAAATACTGGCAAGCTTTCACTCGGCCACACTTGCACTGCTGGAGACAATGGAAAGAAACTTTAATTACCACACGGATGGCTTAGGGATGTTATRMTCACACASWWSTGTGTGAKYAAAGAGGCTAGTGTAGAGTCCAGAATTTGCASGGGCAAGGTGGTACTCCAACTGGTGCTCCAGCCTTCAGCTGTTTCTCCTCCTCTCTGAATACACAGGGCCTCAAGCCAGTGAAGGTACTGAAGTTGCAGCATTTTTAATCTAAAGCAAACCGCTCCCCAGCAACAGAAATAAGCAGCCAAGATGTTCTTTCTGCGCTTGCTCAAAACACCACCTCTTACAGCCACACTTGCTGAGAACTGGTTATACCAGTGTCTGTCAGGTCATGTGTCAACAAGGAAAGAAGCTACTTTGTCATCTAAACGTGGGATGAAAAATCCACAGAGGCTTTTTCTTCTACCCTTTCTGCCTGTATCAGTCAAGTTATTGCAATACCTCCCCATCAGGTTAATGTCGGCGTGTCAGTTCAAAGGAGGATACTCATCTTGCAAAGCTATCAGTGACAGGCAAGAGCCATGACTCAAGATAGGTGTTTTTTGAGATATCTAGTCAGCATACACACTTCAAACACTAAGTACACTCAAGCCATGCATCTTGAGCCCAGAAAACTCTGCCCTTTGCATCTATTGGTGGCACAATATAATCATTCCCTTTGTCTTCCTCCACGCATGGCGAGTAAAGCAGAGATCACCACTTACTATTTCAACCCTCTCCCAGTGGCAGGGTCATCACAGGAAGGACTCAGAGTGACAGGGAGARGAAAGCTGTGAAAGGCACCCGTGCATATGGCTGACATCCTGAAGAATATTCCTTACCAGCGGGAATCCCTTTGAGCGAAGCCCCTGGGGTGCCAATTCATGCAGACTAACTATCAAACAACTGCCCTCGTAGTGTCACATGCTTGAGCGATAGCGTAATGTTAGATGGACTTCTTGAGAGCTTCACAGGMAAGGCAGAGTTTAACCCCTGGGTTTGAAATGTGTCATGCTGAATTACTGGGGCAGGGGGCAGTGAAGGGGCAGATTTAGACAGGTTAGAAAATAACAGTTCAGAATTCTGTAGCCAGGTTTGCAAAGCAGAGCAACAAGGCACGCAAGTGACTGAAATTCAAAAGTTCCCACAGTACATGCATAAAAACCATACTTTCAAAACACAAAAATATTTCCTTAAGCATTTTAAAAAAATGTAGACAACTACAATAAAGAGAGATTTATTAATATCTTATCAATTGATAGACATATTTTTTAGCCTTAAAGAGAAGAATTCAAATGCTTAATTCCTTAATTGCATATATCTATACACAGACACACACCCTCCTACTCCACACATATAAAATATAGCTGCAAGGGTACTTAGGAGAATTTGGTGTAGAAAAAGCCTTACTCTCTAATGAATGTGCTCTAAAAATAGTAACTTTTTTTTATGCCAGTCACTCCAAACCAGCACTTTCTGTAATAGTTATTAACTCATTATGATTAAAACTAAGTATGTTCAGAAGTACAAGTAGTATTTTAATTTTGTCAGCATGGATTCTTCAGCAAGGCTCAGAAATCACTGCAAGTCCCTAGAAGGCTTCTGTTTACATGAGCTCTGTCTGTCCCTGCTACAGAGAACTGTGCCCACTCTGTCTAAAAAAGCAAAGCTGAAATGATTGATCTCCTGCTGACACTCACAGCGACCCTTATTTCTGTGGGTTAACATTAATTTATCTGGTCTGTTCAGACAAGAGAAAACCCAAACAAATAATGCAGAGGTTGAAGAAAAAGTCACATTTCATCCTAATTTTGCAGGGCAAACCAAGTACTGCGGTAAACAACCACTTGCACCTGAATACTTGAACATTTTTTTTTCCTTTTAATAAGCTACTTTGCATGCACTGTATGCTTCTTTGCATAATGCACATGCAAAAGTACAGACCACCTGAATATTTAGCATACCATGTTGTGGAGTTCCAAAAGCCGTTATCAAAATTAATACGTTTTTCCACATCATAGCTCTTACTGCTAAAAACCCTGCAAACAGAGTGGCAGGAGAGAGGGAATTTGACCGCTTCTCCTTCTGCAGAAACACTGTCCTCCAGCCAGAAAAACTCTTTCTTAGAGTCTCCTTTGAAAATAACACAACCAAAGCTTTCAACAACAGACATAGTTCTTCCTATGCTAAAATTAACTCTTTCTTACTAATTCATCAGGCCTGGTAGCATGACTACAAGCAACACTTAGTGCTGGACAAAAGCTGAACTACTTTGCGTGTTGTAATGAGATATGTTGTTCTTATGTATAATACCACAGGCTTCTCTGCAGATGAAAGAGCACCACTGAACCACAAAACACTCATTCAAGAGAAAATGTATATAGGTACATAAAAGGGGATCTGATCAATGTACATATATACCTCAAGGGAGGGAGGAGAATGAGGCCAGCCTCTTTTCAGCAGAGGCCACTGATAGAACTAGAGGAAATGGCCACAAACTGAAGCACCAAAAGCTCCACAGGAACTTAAGGAAAAATTCCTTGGCAGGTAGGGTGCCAGAGCCCTGGAACAGGCTGCCCAGAGAGGTTGCGGAGTCTCCTTCTCTGGAGATCTTCAAAACCCGCTTGGATGCTGCCCTGTGCCACCTGCTCCAGGTGACCCTGCGTGGGCAGAGGGATTGGACTAGATGGTCTCTACAGGTCCCTTCCAACCTGAAGGATTCTATGATTCTATGTACATGAAGCTTTAATACTGTCCTAGAAAAAAAAAGCCATGTGTGAGATCACTTCTTTGTTAAGGAGTAAGCCAGCAAACATCTCTGAATACCACACAAAATCATTAGGAAGGCTAGTTTGGGGAGTGTGAAATAAAGTCAAGGATGCAGAAGGTTTCTGCAGCAAAATCTATGTTMGTTTTCCATCTTCAACATTAACTAGAACACAAAACTAAACCTACAGCTTTACAGAATCAAGCTGGAACTCTGTTTTGAAAATATGAAGTTTACATTTATTCTTTTAACCTTTCAGGACTAGGGTTACACTATTCCAATTCAAATGTTATGGCGAAATGTGCCCTYATACTGGACCTTGTTAACCTACTTCTCAAAAGTATTGCAAATATGTTTCACACCACTTGCTTACTTTGAACATCAGGATGAAAATAATTATCCTTAAATTTTAAATATATCAACTTCAATTGTTTTATTCACATGAATAAAAYGAAAGACCAGGACAATCAGTCTATTCACAAAGAGCCCTCTCCAACCGCCTAAGAACAGTAGTTATACTACTTAAAATAACCTTTTCCTCTAGGTATAAGAACAACACAGGAATATAAATACAAAGCAATCSTCTCTAAAACAGCATTCTTTCCCCTCACCAGTTTGGTCCCAAATCATCTGCTACTGTATTTCATAAACAATGTTTTTCATATGTTCAGATATTTCTAAAAATAAACATTCATAAATTGAATAGAAATACATAAAGAAAATAGTGAGAAAACATAGTTAAAAAAATCAAGACACTGACTCTACACTTAAAATGATGAAAATTCACTGTAAGACCCAATTCCAATACAACAATCAGGTCAGGGTTCGGCATTTGCTAGACAGATGGTTAACTTAAAACACACTGACCCCCTATCAGACTGGATTAGTGCCAACAGCACTCAGCCTTTCCTACAGAAAGTGGGTCAGATTAGGTCTTATCCAAGTGCTTTGATTTGATGCATCATGACTCCAAAACAACTTATTAAAGCTGCTATGTTAAAGTATTTGCATAAGTTTATAGAGAAAACAGGATTCTCTTTGGGCATCACACTTACCTTCACATTTTTCCAGGATCTGGACAGTTTCACCTAGTTCCAGGACTAAACCTTGCGGTACGGCTCCTCGGAAGCTGCATATCACTAGAGGGTGGAGGGAAAAAAAAAAAAAAAGACACATGAAGGATGAATCTTTACGTGATTTTTTTCTTCTTCTAACCATGGCACGTTAGCTCATTCCTTACAAAAATAGCAATTACATAGCTCCCCAGAAAACCTGTCAGTCAAGTCTTCCTTATCAGAAACGTGCATTTTAGCCCATATCACAAGTTAAGCTCAGCAGCAGCATTAAAAGCTAGCTTTTAGAAAAGATTTTTGAATTAAGCAAGGCTTGTAATTATTTTAATCACTAACCCCAAATGAACTCATTGGGTAAATGAAGATTTCTTACTCTCTTACAACTCAACAGAACAGACTGCTCTGACTTAATAGGAGGTCAAGAATTTTATTCTTGAGCTTTAAACAATATAATAAGGAGTCATCAGCAGGAATCAAGTTTTCTCCACTCTGTGGAACTRGTATATTGCAAAAATCTTAACTGTGATGTATGACAGCATCTGGACTTTCATAAATACAGAACCAAGATGGCATTCATCTTAAATACCACTTTTCCATAAAYCATCCAATGAAAAAACATGAACACTAGTTTTACACATTAAACTTCAAACAAACTTAATTTTGTAATAATGTATAACAATACATTCTTTAGCCAAAACAATTTTTATTGACATACAATAGGGGCACAGCTAAGGATAGATACTGGAAGCATGTCAAAACAAAGGATAAATTAGAACTAAGATGTCTCAGGTTTTTTCCACGTCTTACATTTCTCGCCAGCAATGTTTAAACACCTCATTCAGACACAGCTTTAATGTAACCATCCAAGCACCTTGCTCTAAATAACAATATACAAACAAGGAGCACTCAGTGTTCCATTTTCCCTACAAATATAGTGGAATCCCAGAGTTGAAACAGTGACCTCCTGTGGGCACCATCCTTAGTTTTTTTCCTAATAGAAGGAGAACAAGTCCCACTAAATGTAGATAGCTAAGCTCTGGTTGCAACTCTCCCACGACAGAGCTGCATTTCAGGTCCTCCCAAAGAAGGTTCTCCTTGTCAGAGCCACTGAAGTTCAGGAAAGTTTCAGCTTGGTACCTGGCTCTCAAGCAAAGGGGCAAGAAAGAGCAAGCTACAGTTGGCAAACACCCACATAAAGGACAGTGACAGGAGGACGAACATGGATCAAGATCCAAACAGAACGAAAGGGTGTCACATGTTTGTTCTTCATAGCAAAACCCACTGCAGAGTGTTTTAACTAATGGGAGGAAGCAGAGATCCCATCAACAGAYCTTAACTGTTCTCTGGACTCTTGGGCCCAACAACTGTTACATGTGACAGGATAAACAAAAAATTTTTTTAGATTGGAGTAACATAGAATATATAATAAAAAAAAAAATAGTGCAAGCAGTAGCTTGCCAGGCTACTGGATTCAGTTTTCACTCATGAAAGCAAGTTATATTTTTTAATCTGATCATATAGATGCATATGGAAAATATGGAACAATTCAACCATTCCGGAAAAAAATGATTACAGAGAAGATTCTGCTAAGTCACTTGTGCCTTCCTGCAGAGATATTCTTTATAGCAATATGGTCATCTACAGACTCCTCATCAATCAACAGGCCTCAACTCTTTCTTACAAGATTCATCTCAAGTCACCACAGAGGGAAGTCGTAATCTATCATCAAAATAGGCCTAAACTCCACCCTGCAGTGAACAGACCTGAAGGATCTCGCTTGGATCGCAAGCCAGACTGGTATAACGTTCACCAACTGTTTTCAACTATTAATCCCCTCTCCGTTGTTCAGTTTTATAAGAACACCACAGTTCACATCCACAAGAGCTAATTTTAGCCAGCCGCTGAAGTCCCATCCTGCTAAGGAGGAGAGCTCTGAGGCTGCAGCAGGTATCMTGTATGGGAGCTCCCTGAACCGCGCTGCTTGAACTGTACCCAAGGAGTCCAAAGCAAAACTCAGCCACCTCCGCACACATGCAAATTGTTACTAAGMAAGAAAAGTCACCACCCTACAAACACACTCACACAGGCAGGCAACTCTGTGACAGCAGGAAGGGAACAGGGGTATCACATGTGAGAACAGATAAAGTTGGAAACAGTTTGGAAAGCCAGAGTTAGAGCAGAGGAAGACAGACGGAAAAGCGTAAAAGCGTCTGCCCAAGAAATATGCCCTGACACTGTATACGCAGCTGCAAAGTCTAAGTCACCAACAGTAAGAGAAATGGTTCTAAAGAACAGGTTTAAGGGCACAGGGACACACATGCTATCTTGGGAAACAGTTACTAACGTCCCTAAAAATCACCAAGGAAAACAGGCCTAAGGCCTAAACTCACATAGAAGATGATGGGCTCTCAACTGGCTATTGGCACACGGAGTGAAAAGCTGGAGTTTTATGAACGGGCCTTGTCACATGCACAGCTTTACTCTCTCACCAATTTCTTCATATTCTGGTTAATAATTCATAATTTAAAAGCYGCTCCAGAGGCTGTGGCATCTCCTGTGTCACTTCTTTCCACACCTTCTCTGCTGCTGCTTTAAGCTTTGAGGTTGAGGTGCTGACACCTGCCAGTCACATGGAGGAGGTGACCAAGGAACGAGCGTTAWTCATTCCTGCCAGCATAAAAAGCAGGGTAGTGTCACACACAACAGCAGGGGAGGTCAGAGCCTTTCAGAGCGCTCCTTCCACATGGTGCATCGTTCGCCCGCAAAGCTCCGCGCGAGACGCTACGGCTGCCAAAGGATCACCCAAGTTCAAAAGCAAACAGGACAAATGGCCTCCTGTGGCCTAACCTCCCAGCCTAGGCCCACCTCCTTCTCAACTCTTCCTAAGAKCATTTTTTAAACTGAGTCACATTTTTTCCCGTAAATATCAGGAAAAGACRAGAGGAAAAATAAGAAAATGACGGACTGCTGTCTGGCACAGGACACCCATGTAAAAAGTCATGCAGAATTTAGCTGCTTAATCTCCCCACCAARAACAAGTTTTCTTAATATATAAATAAAATTCCTTTCCAGCACAGTGATACGTATATATGTGCTTTTGTGYATCTTCTATTTTGCTTTCAACCTATTTCTGTACATTGAAGCTTACAAAAGTATTTTAACATTGCATAATGTATTATTTACAGTAATAAACAGAATTTCAGCCCACYACCAGCCAATACTTATCTACACAAAAGACCTATTTTATCATCCTTTCTCTCTCTGCCTTCCATGATACACTAACGCAAATTCCATGTATTGAAATGAAGAGAAATAAATTCRGTTCAAGAAATTCCCACGATCTCCTTTTCTCTCTCCAGATCTAAATTATATTTCTCTAACCACAGTTAGGTTTTGTTATTATTTGAATCTTATTTCCCAAGTTTTCCCTGGTGCTGCTAGAACACATCCAACAGGCTGAACTACATTTTGTTATTCTTTACAAATCTTGTCCTCATCAACACTTTGCCATTTAATTTTCATAGTTGCTCTGTACCACAATCAACTTGCAGTTACTCAGGCTATGTATTAATCATGTCCTAAGTATGTCTTCAGATAAATTAWTTCCAGAAGCAATGACAAGGGACAGGAGCAGCGGAACTGCATTTGTAACATGCTCTACCCCAATTAATTAGCTCTGTACCTTATCAATTGATTGATCTGCATAGACACCAAATTTTGTTTTGCACTACAAGTTTCAAAGTTCTCCTGAGCTTTGTACTTACACCTCTAACACAACATCTAAGCGTTCTGTAGGGATGCTCATCATTGAGTAAATACATACACACACCATATCTCTTAATAATGGGTCTCAGACTTAAGAGTATGAGTTTTTGTTTTGCTTTTAAAGGCTGAAACAAAGATGTCGCACGCAACAGATTGGCAAAGTAAGCAAGCTTTTTTTCTTTGAAGTAACAGTAAATTAAAAAGAAAATGAATGTAAATTAAAAAGAAAGTCAAAAACACTCGAGGCAAATCAAGCAGACTGAATGGATTTTTCTAAAAAGACTTATTATATGAATAAATGTATAGCAGTAACAGTTACCTGAATTCCTGACCTGCTTCTGTAGCTCTTAYAGTTTATTTCCAAACATTGAAGAGTTACAAAGCACTACTTTGTACATGATATTTCAACAAAACRCTACTATAATTTCTTAAATAGTCTACACTGAAAGATGGGACACTTCAATATTAAACCATTTGTTAACAAGCAGTCTAGGTCAATCTTGCAACTGATTTATTAATATACATTGATCTTTAAGGAAAATAATGTAAAYTGCACCAGATTATGCATCTTTTCCTAAAATTTTCTTTTCCTCCCTACAATAATTCATCTATTAAGAAAGCCTAATCCCTCTAAGCACACAGTGTTCCTAGCAGCTGAGTGAGATGAGCATGTTTTTACTCCCTGTTCCTCCAGACAGCGTAACTTTAGAGTCATTCTACTGAAGATGGCTCTAAATCCAGTTTCTTTTTCCTCACAGGGGCCAAAAGGAGTGGTGAAGGAAGAGGGCAAGGAATCTACAAATTATTCCATTAATTTGTAGATCAGCACTTCCTAACACAAGAGATTTCATGATTACTCTACAAATTACATTAAATGGCTCTCTACATTTTTTCCTGTGTGCATCCATCCAAATGTTTTTGAACTCTAGCAATTTTTAACATACACAACATGCCCAGATCCCACATTTCACTTATGTACCATGCCGAAAAGTTTTGTTTGGTGTCTTTCTTATTCTAAATACACTAAAAGAGGAGCAATCAAACAATTTCTGCTCTTCTAGTCCACATCACTCATGGTTTTATAATCCTACCAGCTATCTTTCCCTATCAAGTTCTTTTCTAGGAAAGATGAGTGATGTTAATTCTCTGTATTTATAGATGGTAGAAAGGAAGAGGCCTTTAAGCTACAGCAATATGATAGCAGAGGAAAGAAAATCTATACAAACTACCCCACTGAAGAAGATGCCCAAGTTTTAAGACTTTGCTTGATGGAATCATTCCTCACAGAGGGAAAACTGTGG